TGGTCGATCAGTGTACATGTATGTGTAGACGTGTCGGCCTGGTCGATCAGTGTACACATGTGTAGACGTGTCGGCCTGGTCGATCAGTGTACATGTATGTGTAGACTTGTCGGCCTAGTCGATCAGTGTACACATGTGTAGACGTGTCGGCCTGGTCGATCAGTGTACATGTATGTGTAGACGTGTCGGCCTGGTCGATCAGTGTACACATGTGTAGACGTGTCGGCCTGGTCGATCAGTGTACATGTATGTGTAGACGTGTCGGCCTAGTCGATCAGTGTACACATGTGTAGACGTGTCGGCCTGGTCGATCAGTGTACACATGTGTAGACGTGTCGGCCTGGTCGATCAGTGTACACATGTGTAGACGTGTCGGCCTGGTCGATCAGTGTACACATGTGTGGACGTGTCGGGAATAATAATTTTTATATAAAAATAAAAATTATAATATTAATAATAACCTAATCGTAAAATCCTTGGGGGGGGGGGGGGGGGGGGGAGAGGGTAGAGTTAAATTGATTTCCTTGGAATGTCCCATTTTTGGTTCAAAATATAATGGTCACCCTATGTCCGCGTTTGTTAAGTGACCCTCTCTGTCGGTGCTGCTAAACCAGAAACAACCGAACGACAACGCTTCACAGACTAGTCCCTGGAGATAAGTAAATGGAGCACTTGTTCCTAACAAATGCCATCTCTATGTCGACAGTGTCATTTAGTCTTGTTGCACAGTCTTCATTAAAGGTCATCAGCCATCTTGACATTTTACCCACAATTCAGTGACACCATTTCCGTTAAATAGGTAGTAAATTATTCTGTCCGGGGTTTCTGTTGTAATCTTCGTCCATCTCTAGCTACCACTTTCTGGTATCTGTCCGGGGTTTCTGTTGTAATCTTCGTCCATCTCTAGCTACCACTTTCTGGTATCTGTCCGGGGTTTCTGTTGTAATCTTCGTTCATCTCTAGCTACCACTTTCTGGTATCTGTCTGGGGTTTCTGTTGTAATCTTCGTTCATCTCTAGCTACCACTTTCTGGTATCTGGGGTTTCTGTTGTAATCTTCGTCCATCTCTAGCTACCACTTTCTGGTATCTGTCTGGGGTTTCTGTTGTAATCTTCGTCCATCTCTAGCTACCACTTTCTGGTATCTGGGGTTTCTGTTGTAATCTTCGTCCATCTCTAGCTACCACTTTCTGGTATCTGGGGTTTCTGTTGTAATCTTCGTCCATCTCTAGCTACCACTTTCTGGTATCTGTCTGGGGTTTCTGTTGTAATCTTCGTCCATCTCTAGCTACCACTTTCTGGTATCTGTCTGGGGTTTCTGTTGTAATCTTCGTCCATCTCTAGCTACCACTTTCTGGTATCTGTCTGGGGTTTCTGTTGTAATCTTCGTCCATCTCTAGCTACCACTTTCTGGTATCTGGGGTTTCTGTTGTAATCTTCGTCCATCTCTAGCTACCACTTTCTGGTATCTGTCCGGGGTTTCTGTTGTAATCTTCGTCCATCTCTAGCTACCACTTTCTGGTATCTGGGGTTTCTGTTGTAATCTTCGTCCATCTCTAGCTACCACTTTCTGGTATCTGTCCGGGGTTTCTGTTGTAATCTTCGTTCATCTTTAGCTACCACTTTCTGTTATCTGACCGGGGTTTCTGTTGTAATCTTCGTTCATCTCTAGCTACCACTTTCTGGTATCTGTCCGGGGTTTCTGTTGTAATCTTCGTTCATCTTTAGCTACCACTTTCTGGTATCTGGGGTTTCTGTTGTAATCTTCGTCCATCTCTAGCTACCACTTTCTGGTATCTGGGGTTTCTGTTGTAATCTTCGTCCATCTCTAGCTACCACTTTCTGGTATCTGGGGTTTCTGTTGTAATCTTCGTTCATCTCTAGCTACCACTTTCTGGTATCTGTCTGGGGTTTCTGTTGTAATCTTCGTCCATCTCTAGCTACCACTTTCTGGTATCTGTCCGGGGTTTCTGTTGTAATCTTCGTCCATCTCTAGCTACCACTTTCTGGTATCTGGGGTTTCTGTTGTAATCTTCGTTCATCTTTAGCTACCACTTTCTGGTATCTGTCTGGGGTTTCTGTTGTAATCTTCGTCCATCTCTAGCTACTACTTTCTGGTATCTGGGGTTTCTGTTGTAATCTTCGTTCATCTTTAGCTACCACTTTCTGGTATCTGTCTGGGGTTTCTGTTGTAATCTTCGTCCATCTCTAGCTACCACTTTCTGGTATCTGGGGTTTCTGTTGTAATCTTCGTCCATCTCTAGCTACCACTTTCTGGTATCTGTCCGGGGTTTCTGTTGTAATCTTCGTTCATCTCTAGCTACCACTTTCTGGTATCTGTCCGGGGTTTCTGTTGTAATCTTCGTCCGTCTCTAGCTACCACTTTCTGGTATCTGTCCGGGGTTTCTGTTGTAACCTTCGTCCGTCTCTAGCTACCACTTTTTGGTATCTGTCTGGAGATAAGGGTAACTGTAGGTCTAAAGCTGATGCTGCAGTTAGGGTATAAAGTCTTGGGCCTGACGGAAGAAGAAGAAGAAGAAGAAGAAGAAGAAGAAGAAGAAGAAGAAGAAGAAGAAGAAGAAGAAGAAGAAGAAGAAGAAGAAGAAGAAAAAGAAGAAGAAGAAGAAAGAAGAAGAAGAAGAAGAAGAAGAAGAAGAAGAAGAAGAAGAAGAAGAAGAAGAAGAAGAAGAAGAAGAAGAAGAAGAAGAAGAAGAAGAAGAAGTGAAGAAGCAGAAGAAGAAGAAGAAGAAGAAGAAGAAAGAAGTGAAGAAGCAGAAGAAGAAGAAGAAGAAGAAGAAGAAGAAGAAGAAGAAGAAGAAGAAGAAGAAGAAGAAGAAGAAGAAGAAGAAGAAGAAGAAGAAGAAGAAGAAGAAGAAGAAGAAGAAGAAGAAGTGAAGAAGCAGTAGCAAAAGAAGAAGAAGAAGAAGAAGAAGAAGAAGAAGAAGAAGAAGAAGAAGAAGAAGAAGAAGAAGAAGAAGAAGAAGAAGAAGAAAGTGATGATGAAGAAGAAGGAGAGGAAGAAGTCCCAAAATAACTGGGTCGCGCTATACTTATGAACAACACGGCCTTCAAAAGAAGCCTAACGACAGCCGCGTTACCGTATTGACTAGACTCTCGCTTGCTGACCCGAAGCTCTATGGTTCGAATCTAGACTTTTTTTTTTTCAAATGTGCCTTAGCTCCCAGATCGACCCAGCCTCAAATGGTCACCTGTGGTAGTGTCCTGGAAGGTAAGGACGATCGGTGTGTTGTTGACCACATTAGCCAGAAAGTGATGATTAATCTATACAAGTTTGAGTCTAACGTTAAATGCCTGATGGCACTGGTATTACTGGGTAAAAAACCTGCCCCTTACTTTGTGAAGAAATCTGGCTAAAAACAAAGAGAGAGAGAGAGAGAGAGAGAGAAAGAGAGAGAGAGAGAGAGGGGGGAGGGGGGGAGACAAGCACACACACACACAAAATACGAAACAAAATCTACATTTAAACACAAAGCAAATTTTAAATCATACAGAAATAACTGAACACTGAGAAAATTAATAAAAACAATGAAAATATAAACACAGAGGGGACAAAACCGAACACAGAGGAAAACTATGAACAGAACAACGGAAAACTAATCAGCCTAATGAGACAGTGAACAAACAGCATTAGCATATCGACAGGAACGTCACAGTTAAAGGCATTCATAAGCGATAAGCAGAAACACATTAACACTGACGCAGAAAGCAACCGATACACAGAAGGCGGGAATTAATCAACTTAATGAGACTGAATCAGTCAATACGATTAATGTGAGCGCACGAGCATCGGCAGCAACTACACACGGACCAGCTCACTGTGACAGAACTGTTTACCAGGCCTGCCTAAGTAAATTATTCAACATGACCTTTTACCCCTGTATATGTTCTCAATTTAGGGTGGGGGAGTGGTGTAAAGATCCACATTCCCATATAAAACATATCTTAAAGAGTTTACAACTGGGTTTTCTCAAATCAGAGGTGTTGCGACCAGAAGCGCAGAAACTGTAACCTTCGTCTCCTTCTTCATCGTCTTCTTCTTCTTTTTCTTCTTCTTCTTCTTTTTCTTCATCGTCTTCTTCTTCTTTCTTCTTCCTTCTTCTTCTTCGTCGTTTTCTTCTTCTTCTTCTTTTTCTTTCTTCTTCTTCTTCTTCTTCTTCTTCTTCTTCTTCTTCTTCTTCTTCTTTCTTCTTCTTCTTTCTTCTTCTTCTTCTTCTTCTTCGTCTTCTTCTTCTTCTTCTTCTTCTTCTTCTTCTTCTTCTTCTTCTTCTTCTTCTTTCTTCTTCTTCTTTCTTCTTCTTCTTCTTCTTCTTCTTCTTCTTCTTCTTCTTCTTCTTCTTCTTCTTCTTCTTCTTCTTCTTCTTCTTTCTTCTTCTTCTTCTTCTTCTTCTTCTTCTTCTTCTTCTTCTTCTTTTTCTTCTTCTTCTTCTTTCTTCTTCTTCTTTCTTCTTTCTTTTTCTTCTTCTTCTTCTTCTTCTTCTTCTTCTTCTTCTTCTTCTTCCAAGGATGTAGCTATGTTGTGTCCATTTACAACATGGCTGCGATTTTTGGGCCCTTGGGTCGACACATTTGACTTCTCAGGAGTTTGTAGATCAACTAAAAACCAGCATCTATCGGGAATCGAACCTTAAACCTTTGACTAACAGGCAATAGTTTGGCGGCATCGGAATGCGACTCCCAATATCTCAACAGGTCACTATTCACAAGTTTCAGATCTAAATTCGGTTTGATCAACTTCATTTTTGTCCATGATGCGGGAGTGGGAACGGCTAATCACCTGCCCAGTATCGCACAAGACTCGAACTGTGTACCACCAGCGACGACCCGGGGGATCAGTATAAAAGCTACACCTACTGCAGATTTCAGATAACTTTCTTCATTCAAACCACATTGCTCATCATCGACATACACACAGAGAAGAGAAAGAGAGAGAGACAGACTGACTAAAAGCTAGTTGGATTGCTTATTCCGACGTAATTACATATGTACAGAGGCGCCCATAAAAAGAAATCCTTGGGGCGTTTGGTCGTGTGGTGGTAGTGGGGGGGGGGGGTTGGGAACCTCATAACAACAGTAATGATAATGATAATGATGATGATGATGATCATAAGATGATTGGTAAACAGCAATATATTTTAAATAATAAGAAACATAACAACCAATACTTAAAAAGAGAACTACAGAGAGGCGGGGGACAGGCACCCTGTGTGTCATAGAACTTCTACGGGGAGGCGTGTGCGGGGCACGGGGCGCCCTGTGTGTCATAGAACCTCTATGGAGAGGCGTGTGCAGGACACGGGGCGCCCTGTGGGTCACAGAACTTCTACAGAGAGGCAGGGGATGGGGCACGGGGCGCCCTGTGGGTCACAGAACCTCTACAGAGAGGCAGGGGACGGGGCACGGGGCGCCCTGTGTGTCATATAACATCTACGGGGAGGCGAGTGCAGGCACGGGGTGCCCTGTGGGTCACAGAACTTCTACGGAGAGGCGGGGGACGGGGCACGGAGCGCCCTGTGTGTCATATAACTTCTACGGGGAGGCGAGTGCGGGCAGGGGGCGCCCTGTGGGTCACAGAACTTCGACGGAGAGGCGGGGGACGAGGCACGGGGCGCCCTGTGTGTCATATAACATCTACGGAGAGGTGGGGGACGGGGTGCCCTGTGGGTCACAGAACTTCAACAGGGAGGTGGGGGACGGGGCGCCCTGTGGGTCGCTACTGAGGAGGGTAAGAAAATGGTGAGAATATGTGTCTGTAACATCAAAAAATGTGTAGGTGTTTGAAAGAGTGTGTGTGTGTGGGGGGGGCGGGGGGGGGGGGACATTTTCCGCACCGTGTACCATCTCCCCTCGTCACGCCACTGCTTCTACACGCGACTAAAAAATAAATACGTCTGTGTATGATGGAATGTTTGCGTGTGCCCCTTCAAGCGCCACCCCCTCCCCCAACCTCTAATATGGGTTAACAGAAGAAAAACACGGGGCAAATATGCCCTCACAGAGGCAAGGACAGTGTACAAACTAGGACAGTAATAATCGACAGTGAAGCCAGCACACGACAGATGACCAGAGCCCCCACACACCCCCTTCCATCAAGTGCCCAGAGTACAGACACTCGACCGCTCCGACAGACCAGCAGAGAGCCGTCGCTGGCACCGAGCCAGGGCGTTTTAATTAAACAAACGCCATGGGTGCAGATCTACCCCCCCTCTCTCTCTCTCTCTCTCTCTCTCTCTCTCTCTCTCTCTCTCTCTCTCTCTCTATCTATCTATCTCTCTCTCCTTCTGCTACCAATCTCTTTCGTCCATCAGGCTGAAACAACATTGAGCACAACCAGATCGATACCTCTATATCGGCACTAGCGTTCATGCCTGTACTTTTGGAGTTGGATCGAACGGCGCGACCCGAGGCCGCCATTTTGTATGTCCAGGCAACCACAAGTGCGTGCACTAGCTATGGAAATATCCAGTCCTGGGATGTGGTAGGGATTCTCGACTGCTAACACTGTCTGACATCTCCTAGTGCTGTCACATCAGCTCGACACACACACTGGGGCTTCTCTCTACATATTCCGGGATTTCTTATTCCTCGTGTGTCTCCAGTCAAACCCTTACCTGTGGAATAAAAAAGGTTAAGCTGTGTTAACAGACTGGTGATAACTGGCAAACGCTGGAAAGAAGGGGGAGGGGGTGGGGAAACAGGAAGAAAAAGAGATAAATACGAAGATGGTTCTGCATAGTGCGATAATCTAGGTTCGTCGAGGCCTTACACTGCAGGCTCAGGCACCTTAAGCCCCCCCCCCCCCCTTTTTTTTTTTCTTCCCCACCCCAAAAATCTATTAAGGTAAGTATGAGTCCCCACACCTGATAATGTCTGAGGGGAGGAGGAGAGAGGGTATCCAGGGCACCTCATCCATTCCATGGAAAATTTGCAAGGGCATTAATTGCTTCAGTCCCAAGAACTCTTTTATCCCATGGGGTTGCCTTTGAGAGCAATAAACATTTCGGTAATTTCGGAGGGGCACTGGGGGAGGGGGGCAGAAACGGTATGGTAAAGGACCCTTTTCCGCTCCCAAATGGGCATCACGCCAATCGTCGTTATGTCCCAGGACTTTACTTGGTACCTACCTAAGCTGGGTCGACCTCACAGCCAAAAAATTAGACCCCCCCCCCCCCCCCCCCCCCCCCCCCCCCCCCCCCCCCAAAAAAAAACCCAGTCAGACTCTGTAGAGTTGTAAACGCTGATTCACAACTCCAACATGTTCTATTCATCACACACAACCCTGTAACACCACACTCCTGTCACTCACACACATCCCTGTCAGTCAACATCCCTGTCACACACATCCATGCAACACATACACATCCCTGTTAGTCACACACATCCTTGTCAGTCACACACATCCCAGACAGTCACACACATCCCTGTCAATCACACACCTCCCTGTCAATCAGACACATCCCTGTCAATCACACACATCCCTGTCAATCACACACCTCCCTGTCAACCAGACACATCCCTGTCAATCACACATATCCCTGTCAATCACACACCTCCCTGTCAATCACACACATCCCTGTCAATTACACACATCCCTGTCAATCACACACCTCCCTGTCAATCACACACATCCCTGTCAATCACACACCTTCCTGTCAACCAGACACATCCCTGTCAATCACACACATATCCCTGTCAGTCACACACATCCCTGTCAGTCACACATCCCTGTCAGTCACACACATCCCTGTCAGTCACACATCCCTGTCAGTCACACACATCCCTGTCAATCACACACATCCCTGTCAATCACACACATCCCTGTCAATCACACACATCCCTGTCAATCACACACCTCAATGTCAACCAGACACATCCCTGTCAATCACACACATTCCTGTCAGTCACACACACATCCCTGTCAGTCACACACATCCATGTCAGTCACACATCCCTGTCAGTCACACACATCCCTGTCAGTCACACATCCCTGTCAGTCACACACACATCCCTGTCAGTCACACACACATCCCTGTCAGTCACACACACATCCCTGTAAGTCACACACATCCCTGTCAGTCACACATCCCTGTTAGTCACACACATCCCTGTCAGTCACACATCCCTGTCAGTCACACACACATCCCTGTCAGTCACACACATCCCTGTCAGTCACACACACATCCCTGTCAGTCACACACACATCCATGTCAGTCACACACACATCCCTGTCAGTCACACACACATCCCTGTCAGTCACACACACATCCCTGCCAGTCACACATCCCTGTCAGTCACACACACATCCCTGTCAGTCGCAAGAAGAAGAATAAGACGAAGGATGAGATAAGGGAGAGGAGAAGAAGAATGGAGGAAGTTTGGTGGGGGAGGGGGCGGAAGGGAAAAACGGAGAATAAAAAGGATGGTGGGGGACTCAGAAAGAGGTGGAGAAGAAGACAATGATGATAATGATGATGATGATGAGGGATGAGGAACATAATAATACCTTCTACACAGGTAACATTTAATATTGGCAGTTTATTGGTAATTACATGTATATCTATGCTCTAACAGTATCTATTTGTCACAGAGCTATTGCCAGTTTGGCGCCATGTTTCACCGCTGTGATTTGGCCCACGAGAAAATGTTTAGCTTGGCTACAACGCCAACGATAAAACATCTCATGGCAATTGACGAATGAATCAGAGGACAACTGACAAACTTCTCACTATATAAGTAAACATACCATATGTACATACCAGTTTGTGTTTTCTGTAAAAACAAAAAAGATTGAAGATCCGAAACAGCAACGACTCAACTGTGTGGACTGCTAGCTACTGTATGGTGTCTCAACCTACAGCTTAGTAACATCTACTCTAAAAAAGCATTCGGGCCCTATTGTCGGGTTTGTTCCTAGCGAGCACAATCCTTGTTGCCCCAGCAGGTACGTGGGAACCATCCACAAATATCAACACGGAACAGTGTTACTTCCGCCCAGGTCATCTGACATTTTTTACCAATCACTAGTTGCCTTAAACACACCCGTAACAATTCTCTCCACCAATCAGTCAGTTTCTTTAAATAGACCACGGAAACACCCTTAAAGATAAGGTATTTCCCCAGTTACGGAAGTTCCTTGGACCTTGAATAAGCTGCCGGTTTTAGTTTATTTTGAAAACGAAGTTTTATAAATGGACGTGATGAAAGTATACAAGGTTTCTTATTATTGTTTCTTGTTGTATTCACCGGCTCTACACTGTGATTGTGATGATTGTGATGATTGTGATGATTGTGATGATGATGATGATGGTGTTGGTGGTGAAGGTGATGGTGGTGGTGATAATAATGACGGTGGTGGTGAATTTGATGGTAATAATATCGTGATCGTAGTGGCGATGATGATGTTGATGATGGTGGTGACTGCAATGATAGAGATGTTCAGCTAGGACTGCGACTGTCGGTTGAAATGATGATGATGATGATGATGATGATGATGATGATGATGATGATGATGATGATGATGGTGTTGATGACGACGACGGACAATGGATTCGAACATAAATGGGAAGATAATAAATGGAAGATCAGACAAGCATAAACAGCTGCATCCTGGGGCCCTGTCTGGGGGATGGTGCGGGGGTTGTCCAACATCACCCCGACCGCCTTCATTTCCCAGACTTTATCCAGTACCCACTCAGGACAAGGTCGACCTGGATGCCCAGGTTAATTTTGAAAAAAGGTCCAGCCAAGTTTAGATTCGAACCCACAACCTTCGGATGGCCAGGCGAGCGTCTAGCGTGCAACATGACGGCGACTAACACACGGAGATTATAACGTGTCAAAACCCCATAGTTGCAGGCATGCAATAGAACAATCCCTGTGCTATGTGGACTGGTTATTCCCACTTGAGGGCAACACCTCTACCCTCTATGACAGTCAACTGCTAATCCTCGAAGTTGAAAGCCCCCTCCACGTCAGACGACTCCTCGAGCACCCGCCAACACAACTATCCAGTCACCCGGTTACTTTTTCAAAGCGATAGAAGTTTTTGGCCCAGTTTTACTTTGTAAGGCATATACAATAAATGATTGTATATGTTCCACTGAGGTGCTTTGCCTAGTGGAATGCTCGGCACTTTGGGTGTATGTTTGCACAGCAAATCCTTGTAGTGCAGAGCTTTCCAAACGCTGGATGTTGACACACTTTATAGGCAAACATAATTTCATGCCAGTAATTCCCTCTTCAGTGAAACCAGACGTTAAACTGGCCCCTTGTAAGAGACAGGGCAGCTGAGGTGGTGCAGCGGCTAGTCGCTCGACTGCGGATCCGAAGGTCATAGGTCCAGGTCCTGACTGAGCCACATTGGCTCCCAGGTCGACCCAGCCTTGAATGAGTACTAGGCAAAGTCTAGCGAAGTAAAGGTGACCGGCGTGATTTTAGCCACATCGCCCACCGACTGCCGACTGGTCTATAAAATATAGGTCTAGCCCTATATGCCCAAAAAGCGTGAAGCCTTGGTAAAGGGTTCTTTACTTTTATTTTATTTTTTGTAAAAGAGACAGATCCACTAAAACCAAGACCGGCTCCAGCTGACAGCTCAAACCCACTCACTCCTGGCTGACACCCACTGCAGGTCACCGGTGCCCCAGTAATAACTTTTAAGGCTGAACAGAATGTCTGGGACTGGCCTGTTAGTTTGTCGTCCGGATTGAGTTTTTGGAATTTCAAGGTGTCAAGTCTTCGGTGAGCAGCGCCGAGGAAGGAAGTGCCGTGAACAAAAACACGCAGATGCTGACACATGCATAAATTAGGTTCACACTACACACCTTTACAGTGCAGCCGACCCACTCTTGTGTCGCGACACACAGTTTTGAAAGCTCTCCTGTGAAGAGCAGGGCATTCTGCGCCCGCCTACCGATGTTGGTGACATTGGGAGCCTCCTCTTGCTGATTCTTCTAGCCGTAAGGGATGTTGCACAACCCTGGGTAAGCAGGTCAGTTCGGTGCACCTGTGGGATGTACGAGTGCTGTGGGCTCAGGGTGTGGGTGCTAGGGTGTCAAGTATATCGGAACGTAATTCATTGTATCTCTCCGCGGAGCGGTGTAGATGAGAAGGGCAGATGACAAGAAAGTCAAAGGCGAGAGGAGTCACCCCATTGTACTGGGTTTTATCCTATTTGGTTCTGTCTCTCCGTAGACCAGCTAGCTCCCTGCCTAGTTTGTGCACAAAGCACGAACTTTGTAGTTCCGGCGACGAACCCCGGGGATCTCCGTACAAACTACACTCGTAAACTGATCGACGTATCCATGAAAGGAACCCCCGACTTTTAGGGGGCAAAGCAACCCCCCCCCCCCCCCACACCAAGACACCCCCTCTTCTTCCCCTAACCAGTAAAACATACAATAAAAAAGAACAGAGCGGACGAAAGGGCAAATAAGCATACAGCCAGGTTTGGATGCATACATTTCTGCACGAATAGATATGGACAGCTGAATGACTAGCTGGGTCGATGGGTAGATAGATGGAAGTGTGTGTGTGTTTGTACACGCAGGCATGTAGGTTGGCTGGATGTTACGTAGGTATGTAGGTTGGCTGGATGTTACGTAGGTATGTAGGTTGGCTGGATGTTACGTAGGCATGTAGGTTGGCTGGATGTTACGTAGGCATGTAGGTTGGCTGGATGTTACGTAGGCATGTAGGTTGGCTGGATGTTACGTAGGCATGTAGGTTGGCTGGATGTTACGTAGGCATGTAGGTTGGCTGGATGTTACGTAGGCATGTAGGTTGGCTGGATGTTACGTAGGTATGTAGGTTGGCTGGATGTTACGTAGGCATGTAGGTTGGCTGGATGTTACGCAGGTATGTAGGTTGGCTGGATGTTACGTAGGTATGTAGGTTGGCTGGATGTTACGTAGGCATGTAGGTTGGCTGGATGTTACGTAGGCATGTAGGTTGGCTGGATGTTACGTAGGCATGTAGGTTGGCTGGATGTTACGTAGGTATGTAGGTTGGCTGGATGTTACGTAGGTATGTAGGTTGGCTGGATGTTACGTAGGCATGTAGGTTGGCTGGATGTTACGTAGGTATGTAGGTTGGCTGGATGTTACGTAGGTATGTAGGTTGGCTGGATGTTACGTAGGCATGTAGGTTGGCTGGATGTTACGTAGGTATCTAGGTTGGCTGGATGTTACGTAGGCATGTAGGTTGGCTGGATGTTACGTAGGCATGTAGGTTGGCTGGATGTTACGTAGGCATGTAGGTTGGCTGGATGTTACGTAGGTATGTAGGTTGGCTGGATGTTACGTAGGTATGGTAGGTTGGCTGGATGTTTACGTAGGTATGTAGGTTGGCTGGATGTTACGTAGGTATGTAGGTTGGCTGGATGTTACGTAGGTATGTAGGTTGGCTGGATGTTACGTAGATATGTAGGTTGGCTGGATGTTACGTAGGCATGTAGGTTGGCTGGATGTTACTTAGGTATGTAGGTTGGCTGGATGTTACGTAGGTATGTAGGTTGGCTGGATGTTACGTAGGTATGTAGGTTGGCTGGATGTTACGTAGGTATGTAGGTTGGCTGGATGTTACGTAGGTATGTAGGTTGGCTGGATGTTACCTAGGTATGTAGGTTGGCTGGATGTTACCTAGGTATGTAGGTTGGCTGGATGTTACCTAGGCATGTAGGTTGGCTGGATGTTACGTAGGCATGTAGGTTGGCTGGATGTTACCTAGGTATGTAGGTTGGCTGGATGTTACCTAGGTATGTAGGTTGGCTGGATGTTACCTAGGTATGTAGGTTGGCTGGATGTTACCTAGGTATGTAGGTTGGCTGGATGTTACCTAGGTATGTAGGTTGGCTGGATGTTACCTAGGTATGTAGGTTGGCTGGATGTTACCTAGGTATGTAGGTTGGCTGGATGTTACGTAGGTATGTAGGTTGGCTGGATGTTACCTAGGTATGTAGGTTGGCTGGATGTTACGTAGGTATGTAGGTTGGCTGGATGTTACGCAGGCATGTAGGTTGGCTGGATGTTACCTAGGTATGTAGGTTGGCTGGATGTTACCTAGGTATGTAGGTTGGCTGGATGTTACCTAGGTATGTAGGTTGGCTGGATGTTACCTAGGTATGTAGGTTGGCTGGATGTTACCTAGGTATGTAGGATATGTAAAGAGCCTAGTAACTGAGATTGGAGAAAGCCTGACATTTAACATTTGTACATGATCTGTGTCTGCCCCAAGAATCGCTTGATATCTCATTGACTCATTACGGGATGCCTGCGTGAAAGGCAATG